TCTGCTATTTCTGCTTGTCAGTTGTCGGCAAAAAATATTGTTATATTGTAACTCAAACTTAGCACATTTAGTTTAAAATATAATTTGGTTTGACGATAGATTAATTGGCTCGGGTGATATTTCTATTCCCGTGATACGGTGTTCGACAGCGGTGTGTTGTGTATTGGTATTATTTTGCAAATTTTCAAATTCCTCGAGAAAATTTTCAGCGTTAAAAGCATCAATTGCATGGAGGTTCAGCGCATTCTGAACTGGAGCTTAGAGCATTTATTTGAATTCTGCTGAGGGCATCGACTACTTGGTTCTCTTTTCCATTTTTATATTTAACTTCAAAATTGTAATCCTCTAACTTAAGTCGCCAGCGAGTTAATCTAGAATTAGGGTCTTTAACTTTGTAGATCCAAATGAGAGGGTTGTAATCAGTTTCTACTATAAATATCTGACTGTACAAGTACATACAAAAATGTTTACATGAATCCAAGATCGCCAATAATTTATTTTCAAAAAAAAAACATACAGAAGTTAAAACACTACACACTTGTATTTTGGTATAAAAACAATCGTTTTCGAACTGAACAGATCATCCTCAGTGCCTTATGTAGTTGAAGCTAACAATAAAGTTGTGGCTGTGACATCAATATATGGGTTTATATCATTCGAAATTTTAATTATGGTGTGACTCTAGGTCGATGACAATGGATAACATTTATTACTTTAGGGACTACATGTCTCCCTGCTCGATTTTTAACACGTAGTACTTGTCAGTTAAAACGACACAGACCAACTGGCTGAGGTGACAGGAATATAATTTAAGAAGACCGCCGAACATAATTATAAAAATTATAAAATTTATTTTGTTGTAATAATACCTAATATCTTATTAATGATTCTCTAATGAAAATTAAATTTGTTTAAATGATAAAATTTATTGTCTTGAATCTGCAAATCTCTATTATTGAAAAAGAAATGAGTTATTAAATTAGTGGAATTAATGTTCAAGATTGAATTTATGACATCACAAGTGGTAAGAAAATGATAAAGGTAGAAAATGAAAGGAACTGATGTGGTACTATCCACATAATAGTGTAGAAAGGGTATAAAAAATTAGTATATACTAAAAGATTAAGTTGAAATCCAATGAAATAGAAGGAAAAATTATTTTTTGATTGGGTAATGGTGGTTGCCTAGCAACGGTAAGGGCCCTGGTGTGTAATTCTCTGGCAGTTTAAAAATTTAATTATTAAAATAAATAGGTCTATTAAAAAGTTTTATGAGATATGATAACATAATATGATATTCTAACTATTATTATATTGTAGTTTTTGATAGTGTTAATATAGTATTACCCTATTGTGAAGTATATTAAATGAATATAAATGTAGCTGAGAAAGAATGAATAAAAATATTAATATAGGAAAGAGGAAATGTAAAATGTTGGTTGAGTATAGACAACAGCGAGAATAAATTGGATACTGTGTTGTTGTGAACTGTATGGACAAAGTTAGATAATTAAGTATGTAAATGGAAAACCAGACAAAATGATATGTGTGTGAATATATGTCTTAGAGAACGAATGAAATAATAGAGACTATATGTTGAGTTAACTGTGAGGGGATTAGATTGACTGCATGTCTGAGTTGGTTAAGTGAACTCACTTACACTTACACTTCGATCTGTTCAGATCGAAAACGTTACGCTACATCAATTTTGACGACACTTTTTTAAAAAAGTTTTAACTATGTTTTTGTACCAAAATACAAGTGTGAAGTGTTTTAACTTCTGTATGTTTTTTAAACGATGGTATACAGCCAACTACTGGGTTTTCCCATTAATTTTTAAATTTATTTTTACGTTCAGAGCGTCTGTGAATAGCCGTTCTGAAGATCCCTTTTAGGGTGAAATACGTATAAGCGGATATACAGACGCACTATTGTAGAGTAATTTTGTATTCTGAGATAGGACTGATCCTATCGCTATATTAGAAGCATCTCTAGTCAATACGAAAGGTTTGTCAAAATCTGGGTATTGGAGAACAGGAGCATTGGTTAAGAGTTGTTTACATTTTTCGAAACACTCCAAATAATTTGGATTTTTAGGATCTATAGCAGCACCTTTACGAGTGCATCTGGAAAATGGAGACGTAATCTTCGCAAAATTTTGAATAAATCGCCTATAATCCGATTAATCATAGAAAAGACTATTTCTTTGACAGTTTTTGGTAATGGGTATTTTTGAATGGCTTCAATTTTGCAGGGATTAGGTTTTATATCTTCAGTAGTTACTACATATCCTAGGAAAGCCACGTCTTTTGTAAGAAACTCAGACTTATCTAATTGGACTTTTAAAATTATGTTTTCTAAGGGTATCGAATATCGTAGTAATGTGAACGAGATGTTCATGTAGGTATTTAGAAAAAATCATGACATCGTCCATATAGACAAAGACACATTTGTGATCACAAGGACGGAGAATATTGTCCATTAGCCTTTCAAAGACTGCTGGGCTGTTCTTTAAACCAAACGACATACGTAAGAATTCAAAATGACCATGTGGCGCTGAAAATGCTGTTTTTTGGACAGAGTTAGGATGAATCTCGATTTGGTGATAGCCTTGAGCCAAGTCCAGTGTTGTAAAATATGTAACCTAACCTAACCTAACCTAACCTAAATTATCTAAGATTTCATCTATTTTTGGTAAAGGATATCTGTCATCTATAGTATTTTCGTTTGGCTTTCTATAATCTATAACCATTCTGAATTTTTTCTTGCCTGAAGCATCAGCTTTTTTGGATACTACCCACACTGGAGCTGAATAGAGAGAAATTGATGGTATAATAATTTTATCATCTAATAATTTTTGTAGTTTTGTTTTTATTTCATGCTTCACTGCTGACGTGAAGATAAACTCTTTTTCTCATCGTTAAATACATCTCTGTATTTTGTGCAAAGGTTAAGTATCTTATTTTTTTCTTCATTATTTAAATGTTGAGTACGAATATTAGATTTTAAAAAATGCGTTGGTCCAGTTGAAATTTCATACTCATTAGTATGTTTTTGAACCGTGAAGAGATTCTAATAATTTTATCGGATAAGGGAGTGGCAAGTTATTAACGAAACCGTTTTTTGCTGTGTGTATGGATTCCGGTAATGTAAAATTCTGTAAGTCTACACGGGGTACTATATAGAATTCCACCGTCTAGGACGTTAACTGGAATATTGTAAGATAATGTCTCAAAATGAATAGTAATTCATTTTGAGACATTTGTTAAGGGATTTTTCAGCAATAAATTGCAAATAACTCGAAAAAGAACCATTTTTTGGAAAATTACCAAGATACAAAAAATATTTATTTCGATGAGATACGCCTAAAAATATTTTACTTGTAGCGATTCGAGAAATTGTTTCTTTCTTATGAAATATTTGTTACTTAATAAAATTTCCGGCCCACTTGAAAAAATTTTAAAAAATATATTGGAACCTCGAAAAAAATATAGAATCAAATAAAAACTCTGCTTATAGGGGTAAACAGCTCGCCTATAGAGGGTGAAGAAAGAAAAGAATATTCTTTGAAGATAATGAAATAGAAACTGACATAGCTTCCGGAAGAGTTGAACATTATGTTGACAGGAGATAAGAAATCTAAATTAAAATATTTTAAAGTTTTTTTTATATAATTGGATTAATTATTACAAAAATTTTCCCAAACTGAAGTGTTTAGATTGTATTAAATGTTTATTTAACCCAAAATCCGATCATTCTTATGCTTCTATTGGGAATTAAACAGGTTTGTATATTTAAAAAATAATGGTGGGTTAGTTATTACCACGAATGACACTTTTCAGGTTGTGGAACGCACAAAAAAGCTTTGTTTTTGACAACTGGTGATTTCAAAAATTATTTATTTATGAATGATAGTCAAGTCAGTTCTGTCTGTAGTAAATAACGTTTTCCCATTTTTTTAGGCAACGTTTTCTCTTTATACACTCTGAAGTAGTAGACTTCAGTTGTCACCGTATAGAGCTCATTAAGATGGTTAACCATGCATACCTCAGGGTTAGAATCAACTCACTGGGAAAACAGAGGACTGAAAAATAAATACTACCTCAAAAAAGCATGAACTAACTAAATATATCTTATTAGCCATTTTGAATTCTGTATAAAAAAAGTTGTTTTGTTAATATTCCTACATTTTTGTAATATATAATACTAATAGGTAATAAATATCCAAATTCAACAATCAACAATTCTTTTCCTTAAAATTTATTCACTAAATCGTGTTTTAAATAAATTAAAAAAAACTGCTTAATGAAAGCTTGGAAACTTAAAAGAGTATTACCGTTGCCGTGGTCTGTCAAATGACAATGTTTTTGTAATTGCTACTAGTCATTGATTGTTAATGTTTATGCGCATAAGTATATACGCAGTAATGAATTAAATAAAAATGTTATTCGTGGGAGAAAATGGCCAAGAAAACTTCCTAAAAGGCATTCGACTCATCTAAACGTAAGTGTAGTAGCGTCCCGCAATGTAGGTAATTATTTTGGCACAAAACAATCGTTTTGCTTGCTTACAAGTTTAAGTTGATAAAGCAAGTCCCAAACTTCATTATTCCATGATAAAAATCTTAAATAGTGCTAACATAAGCTAGATCTTTTAATTTTTTCTTATATTCAGTCCAATTTAATTTTCAAATTCCTGCCTCCTTATTTTTTTTTCGAAAAATAGCGCCCTCTAATCGGTTCGACCCTAGGACATTTAATAGAACTCTGTAGGTGAAATAGCCAAACCAGCACCTGACATCATAGGCAACCATTTCATCCTACTGTCGTGCGTTTCGGAGCATAACTTCGGACAAGATAATGATAAAAATATACCTATCTCTTTGATTAGAACATCTCCCCCACCTAAAAGGAGATCTTGAATTCATTGAGGTTATATTTAGGATGCGCTTATGCTATTACCAGGTCAAATTCGTTCTTTTTAAATTGCTTATTGAACTACCAACAACATTTACAACCACTCTCTTAATATTTTTATTGTTTATATTTCAATTCGGGTGTTTGATTTAGTTTCGCGGGTTTTGTAATTTAAAAAAAAGAAACATGGTTTCCACAACGTGGTAAGATGGACTAGTGTTTGTGGCTTTTTCTGTACAACTAATTATTTGAGTGTTGCTGGTTTTGTAATAATACCTACCATATAAATTTCTTGTGTGACACATTTGTTTTTGCTTCTATTTTAAGCGTTTTTGGATTTTTATTTATATTAGTGATTACTTGTTAATTGGAAATTATTTTTTAAACATGAATCATTGTGAACATTCGCAAAATTTTCTATAAATATCAGTATAAGTCATTTAAACACTAATTTTAAAATATTTTAAAGGTAACAAAAAAATTAAATACGCGGTTTTGAAAGCCTTCCTAGTGACTGCTAATTTAAATCTTTGCCGTGATTCAATCCTGTTTAGAAGATTAGATGTTGGCCCAATTTTCAATGATTATTAATTTCTCTTCAGCATCTTATTATTATTGATGTAGAAATTTAACTGAACCTTAACTAAAACGTGGATCTCCATCGTTGTGGGCAGAAAACTAACCATTTAATAATGAATACTGCATAATATACAATATATTTAGATATTTGTATGTACATATATTATAGATTAGGTTTTCTTTATATTGTGGCCCAGTGTGGCTAAGTGTAGAAAATCTCTTTTTTTTCTTTTAAATATGGAACTCTATTTCAGGGACATTGTACCCTAACATAAACGTTTGTTAAAATTTTTTATAATCAATTAAGTATCTACATTTGATATCGTAGTTTACCAACTCATATGTATATATTTCTGTAAAATCTAATACTGAACTTTAAGATTATGTGTGATTTTATTTCTGTAGTTCACAGAGGCGTAACAGAGGCCTCCGCAGCATAAAGCTTTGCGAGAGGGCTTCAATATATCTGGGGCTCCAGCTTGTCGTCTAATATAATGTAAAATTACGTTATTGTTTTTTTACACGCAACGTTTTTTAAGCTTCAAAATCTTCAAAAACTTCCCTCGATTTAGCAAAAACTCACTCTGTTCTCGTAACCCTAGGAGGTGTTCGTCATACAATACAATACATACCTGTAAGTTTAAATTTAAGAATGCAAATTTCTAAATAGGCATATTCGGCAAGTGCATCATCTTATATCTGGTCCTCCTATAAACAGGAACTTAATCCTTTCCGGTCTCCCGAAATTTTATGATGACGACTACAAACTATAATCTTGTAAATGTTGTACGTGGCAAACAACAAATTTTGCGAATTTTAAAACAGTATTTCTAGATCTAGAAATGCGTTTTCTGTTTACTATGCAAATATGTGAAATACTGCTTAGTAATTCGATACGATATTTGGCAGTAGTTTCTTATATCCTTACATTGTTTGGTTGTTTGCATTTTGTGTTATTTGTGTTGTTTTACAGTTATAGTTTCATCAATTTAGTACGCAATTATTTATCAGTTATTGACGAATTTTCTTGTGGAATCATCTTGCCAGATAAACGGTACGATAAGGAAATTATAACAGTTACGCTTAAATGAGTCCTAAGAGGGAATAAAAAAGTGGTTTAGAAAAGCGAAAGTTACTTGGTCAAAAAATCCCAACAAAAACAAAAATTACCAAAAATTTCTTTCTTTTTTGTGACAACTGGTGAATTAAAACAGTAGCCTAGTAAAGCTGGTGAAGCATTAATAGATCCAGTTTGTCTTAGTTAAAAATTAATAATCACTAATCCTACTCAAAATGAAAATGGCAACCCAGCAGTATGGTTGGATGTCGAGCAGATTAATTACATTTATTGTAGTTCCAAGTAACGTTTCATTTTTATTTGGTAGATAGACTAATTAAAAAAAATGCTTTTTAGTTCCCATGAAGTTTATCATTTTTCTAATAAGAGATTATATAGTGACAATATATTGAAGATTTTGCTGTAAACAAACAAATACTACAGCAGGAGGTATCTAAACCTCAAAGGCCATTCCCAAAAAACGTCAATAAGCGTTCTTTTTCCGAAAACTTTTTTTGTTTTAAACTTTAGAAGAAAAAAATCTTTTTGGAGAACAATTCTAATTAGGGTAGTAGATAGATTTTAAATTTAGCGCTTATGAATATACCATTTACAGGACATAAGTAGATAGTGATGCAAATACAAAAACCGAAATATCAAACAAGATATGTTAGGCCAAAAATTGGATACAACACAGGACCTTTCTAAAAAAGACAAATTATCAGTCATAGTTAGATACGTAGGTATCTATTGAAAGAGATCCAATTACTGATCTTCCTAGTAATATAAAAATTAATGAATCATTCTTAGCTTTTTGTGACATACATAGCTAAACTGAAGAAGATATTTCAAATTTAATTTTATCATTCTTAAAAGAACATAGTATATCAGTTGTAAAGTGTCGCGGACAGGGTTAAGACGGTGCAGAAATATGAGTGGGCATTATTCCGGAGAGCAAAAGAAATATAAAGTCGTCCAAGCCTATGCTGCATGCATCCACTGTGCATCTTATAATTTAAATTTGGTGTTGCACGACGCAAGCAGTAATATATTAGAAGTCCTCGATTACTACGATATCATACGAAGTATTTATTATTTTTTCGACAAAAGCATTCAGAGATGGGATCATTTGCTAACAATGCAGAAAACCGTCCAACCAAAATCGCTTACTCTAAAAACGTTATCGGTGACTAGGTGGTTATCCAGGTTTCAAACTGTACTTGGTGTAACGCAGAACTACAGCTAATAATAAAAAGTAACATGGAACAGCTTGAATTTGTCTTCCTAACTACTTTACAAAATAAAGTTTTGGAATCTATAAATCTAGCTGTGACTCTTTTGCTATGAAAAATACGGATCTCTCACGCGAAACAGTACTTTTATAACATAACTGTAAAGAATTTTTATCAAATCTTAGGCAAAAGTGTACGTCATTTTTATAAGAATCCAAAGGTTTTGCTACTAATTGTAGCGTACTTTTAAAATCAAAAGGTTTGGTAGAGTTAGGAAGCATTTTGATGAAATTCGAGCCAGATTTATAAGTATTTACAAAGTGAACGACGCTTTTTAAACTCTTAGATCCTAGAAGTGAACATCTTTTCAAATCGGATGCAGAACTTTTTGCAGAAGTCAGTAAATTAGTTGCTGCGTATCCGTCAAATTTAAGAAATGAGTTTTGAGCAACTGCAATTTGTTAGAAAATCATTAAAGACACCGTTGGAATCGGCGAACTCTATTTATGATTCAGGCAAAATTAATCTTATAGATTTTCATTGCACTAGTGGTTGCATACCAGAAATGTGTCATGCGTAGATCTTGTTTTTAACTTTACACATCACGACCGCTAGTTCAGAGAGATTTTTTTCCAAACTTGAATTAATAAAATCATACCTTCGTAGTAAAATGTCAGAAGAACGGTTATCTTCTCCAGAGCTTATGAGTATTGAAAATGAATTTGCCCATTATAGAGCTATAAGTAAAATTGTAGATATCTTCGCTAATATTAGTGCACAAGGAACAGGTGAAAAATGTAAGTTGTTATAAACAGTGCATGAATACACTAACACATATAAGTTTTTGTCACACAAGTCTCTCATTTAGTAATTTTTTAAACCCTTAACACCTTTTACAATTCTGTCGGAGGCCCCTTCTGTTTGTTACGTCATTGTACTCATCCTACATATTTTTATCCTACCGGTACTCTGGCTCATACAGTTTCTCGGAGAGAATAGCTTGTATATTATTTATTATCTTTAATGTGCATTAATCGCAATTTCGTGTAAGGTAATCTCAAAATATAAATTAAGCAAATTATTTTGTTTTGTACACCAATCCTTGTATCTATCAGTAAAAAATTTAGGTGCTTTTTATACATTTATTTCAAAACACAAACCCAAAGAATAACCAATACATGTTACAAAAACTATGTCTTATCTAATTACGACTTAAAAATACATTCGTCTAAGTAAAAATCATTATTTCTCGGCTAGATTATCTTACTTAAAATCAATCACATAAAATTCCAAATATTTATTATGAGAAACAAATAGACATTTCAAACAATGTTTGCTATGCTTATTTTTTGCTACCTTATTTGTGTCCACCTAGCGGAAAACGCGCGCACTACACTTTAAAAATCGGCTTCACTTATTGTCCTCCAGGTTATTATTACTACATCTATGCATTAAACAAACCGGTAAACATGAAAGTGTTTGACCTCTTGGTATAGGTAATCTGGATAGATAGAGAAGTGAGACAAAGGTGCTTGCTATTTCTGTTGTTAATTAAAATACATATCTTCGCATAAGCGGTGGAAGAATAAGCCATATTAGTTAACGGACTGCATTTAAATAACATTAGATATGCTGACGCCGCACTAGTTTTTGCAATCAGTTTAGAAGTTTATATACCATAATGCCACGCATATCAGATGTCAGTACCTAAACGCGATATAATAAATACACAGCTTTTGGTTAACCAATAGCCAATTATCAAGGTCTATAGCTAAACATAAATACCTTGGTACCAACATAAAAACAGCCAATGGCACCACTCTATCGAAATAACACAACGCATTTTTAAATTTTTTAAAAATACAATCTGTTACATACAAACAAGTAATATCGACAATGAAACTAAGCTTCTGTAGCTGGCTGTATACCATGTATCTCAAAAAATGTATTTAAAAATTTCTTTATAAAAGGTATATATAAAAACATCCTACCGGGCTACATTACAGATCGTTATATGACCACTTTAATTAAAGAAAACATGAAATTTAAAATTTGGGCCAAGATTAATATAAAAATGTGGTTAATACTTACTGGATGTACATGTTTTGAGCCACTTAATACTTGGGTAAAAACCCTTGAAATGTTGTTAAATTAAATTTTAGTTACATTATTTGATTTTATATACTAGCATGTTTAAGTTACAATAGGAATAGATAACATGGCAACGTAAGTCTCCACTGGAGGTTGCAACTAGTCGCCCGAGGACTTGTTGATAGCAACTGATTAAAATGAGAATAATGACATGTTAGAACGGAAGTCGGAACAAAGCAGTCAA